CATAGCTATCTTGATTATCTACAAATCTTTTATTTTTAAGGGAGTAATTTCAAGTGTACTGATTGATTTTCTTTTCAGCCAAGAATAATTTTAAAGAAGCCCTCTTCTAAACTCTCTCAATCAATGGTTTAATGCAAATAAATAACCAGATTTTCAATGTAACAAGAATTTCTATAAATGCATCCACTATATTATTGGCTTTTTTATTTTTAATACAGAAAAAGATTCAGCATGAGGCTATAATGTCATACATAAGTTCAAACTAGTCTTTTTTGTACTCCATAACATCAATAGTTTCACAAATCAAATTATAAATTATTCTAAATTCGTATACTCAAGTAGATGAACTAACAATTCTCCATATTAAAACACATTTTACAAGTCTATTTGTTGTCAGTCTGTTTATTAGCTTTGCATTAGCAAATCTGGACACAATAAAGTAGGAATTAGTATCCACATCATTTAAATAAAGCAGAATTAGTGATCCACTCTAATCTCACCAGTTACATTAACCCAATATGAAAACTGTTCATCTACAACCATTGTTTGTTTATAAAAAAGAAGAAAAAAACACAAGTTGCACAAAATCTCAAATATTTCTTTTATAAGAACTTAATTTATAATTTACAATATTAATCAATCTAGCGTAAGTCCTTTATCAAAAGTCACCTGAAAGTTGAGATAAAGGTAATCTTAATCACAGAATTGGGCCCCTCATCAAAAATCTCAAGCAAGTCACAGAGAACAATCCCTCCTCAAAACTGGGTTGACTATTTTTGATAAACTCATATTTTAAGATTTATTTATAAAATGCTTCTGACATTAGATTCTATAACAACAAAAACCAAACAGATTCATGATTTCCAGAATCTTCACTAAGCAACACTTTAAAATAGCAACAGCATTTTCAGTTATTACGTATATTTTCAAACTTGACCCAACTGGAATTTTAATTGTACCCTTTTCTGCAAGACAGACATTTAGTTCTCTCATCATTTGCTGGTTCAACAATAAAATAACAGATTACACAATTGTTTTAAAGGTTGTTGTTGTTATTGTTTGTTACTAAGCACAAAGCTACACAAAGGGCTATCTGTGCTCTGCCCACCACAGATATCGAAACCCGGTTTCTAACAGTATAAATTCACAGACATACCGCTGTGCCACTGGGGGACTGTTTTAAAGGAACACTCTTCTTTTGACAAGTCAATGTCAATTCATAAAGTTGTCTCACACTAATATCATATGTGCAATCAATAAGAGTCTAATATGCTGTGTTAAAATATTTATGAATTAGAACATTCATTAGTTTGGTAACACATTTATAAGTTGCATGCTAAAACACAGTGAAAAACAAATAAATTGCTCTTTTTGGGACTTGAATCCAAGACTACTGTACAGCTCATTGAACAGAAGTTTAAGACAATGAGCTATAAGGACCCAAGACCTATATAAAACACTACCAAACCTAATCACCACAAAGGCCCAATAACTTCTCATCACTACAGTATCCAGAACTAAAAGTTAACTGTTATATTTTCTGTTAAAAACTTATACAATTCCAGCAAAACAAAGTTGCAAATGAAACCATATTTTCAAGATTTTAACAACCAGTTGAGTCACCGGTAGATTTTATTGCTGGTGAGAAGAAAATTTTTACCTCTAAGAATGAATTTTTCTCATAAGAATAAGCTGTAATCCAATACACCATTTCAAATAATAATGAGATTAAAAACTTTCCATAATGTCTGAGTTGAACAATACTTTTCTCAGACTTGTGCTCATCTCTTCAAATCGATCCAGTCTGGAGCTGGTTCTTTTGTTAATATTGTGATAACTCAAATTGTACCTACCTTCCTCCTCAGAGCCAAGATTAGAAGGAATTTCCAGAGAGTCTATTGATTTCATAGGAGACAAGTGAGAATACTGTAGACATACTGCTGCATCTGAATTAGTAGATGTTTTGCTTCTGGCTTTCAGTCTTTCATAAGCATTAAAAACTTCTTCAGCATAACTTGAATCTACAAAAATATTTTTAAATACATACATATTTTAAACAAAGCATGTCACAGTAAAATTATGACCAAAGAATAATGATTTCACAAATTCATTTTTCTTAAAGTGATTTCTAACATAATTGTTCATAGGATGAAAAGATAAATCCTATAGTTTATGCCCAAGGCAAGCAGTCCTTCTGACTCCAAAAGGAAAAGTTTACACCTGCCAGTATGTGTCATTTCTAACTATAATAACAATATCATTAACTATATAGATGTAAATAAGTGGGTTTTCGGATAGAGCTGAGTAATTTAGTTGATTAATTTAAATAATCAATGACTATGGGCAGCAATTACATCAATTAGTGTCATGTAATTGATGTAATCAATTAAATGAAATTATGATTAAATCAATTGTTATGAAAATAATCAATTGATTCAAATTAGAGTTTCTGATTATAACTATGATGTTTGTTTGTTGTTCAGCACAAGCCTACATAATGGGTTAATTTTGGACAGTTGCCAACCTATTTTTTTTTTTTGTTTGAACATATCATGGTTTGAGGAACAATGTATTAATCATTTAGTAAATACTACTAATCACCCAGCTCAATTTTTGGATGACCAGAAAATTCAGTATTTGCTAGCAGACCTAAAGACAAAGAATTACTGTTGCAAAATCAAATTAAAATAGGTGTTTATTAGTTAATTCAACTTCCAAAAAAGGAACATTTAACAGTATTTACCTTCTCAAAATGTTGGCATCATCAAAAGATGTGATCTGCTTCTGTGATACAAATGTATAGTGTAAGTTCAAATAAATGGAAGTTTATAGCAGAGACTTTATGGCCCAATAGAATTGAACTTGTAAATGAATGGTATAAAAGTACATGTTGCATATATTTGTTTGCACGTGTCTTGTGGTAAGCTTGTGGAAAGGCTTACATGATAACATAGTGTATGCTGTTTAAATTAATAGAACAAAATTAGATGAATATATACATGCAAAGGATTAAATTTAGTTTTGATTCTACTGCTTTGCATGCCTTAGTATTGTGATAATAATTTCTATTGTTGGCCAGTTATTTTGGATTAATTGGTAAAATGATGGAAAGTCCAACCCAGTTAACGATAGCAAAAAAATGTCTTCTTTCTTCAACTTCAAATTCCAAGATTAGCATAACCAATGTTTACCATTAGGTTAAATTTCACACACAAACTATATCTAACACAAGTACCACTTGCTACTTTCGTATCTCTTATTTCTTTGTTGAAATACAAATTTAATATTCACAACACTAAGCTAGCTAACTGAATACCTGGCTGACAGTAACAGACAAATGACTACATCATGCACCGATTACTCGTTAAAAGAATAACAGACTCACTAACTCAATCACTTCTTCTCAAATAACTATTTCTAGTTTGACTCACTTATATGGCTCAAATTGTTTCCTAAACTTTGGAGAAAGTTCCAGACATTAAGGTCACACCCACATATTATGTTAAATTTCCTTCCGTCTAACTAACAATACAAATTTTCAAGAAATGTCTACATTAACAATATAAACTATGATAGTATGTTAACAGATGTGCTGATATTGCCACTTACCACATATCCCCATATTAAAATTTAACGACTTTGATATTTTTTGTTCATTTCCTCATAGTATTTATTAAAATACATAACATCCATTATAAAAATAACACACACACACACATACAAACACAATATAAACTACATGTATATTTCAGGTCAGTTTGTATGACACGCAACAACTGAAAGCATCTCTTTATAATTTTCTTATGGAGTATAACTTGTAAATATTAAATTCTGAGACTATTACTATGATAATCAACCAATTAGAACAAGTATTGTGTTTATTATTCAGACATCCACCCACTACTACATACAACTCTTCCTTTCAATTTATCAAACCAAAACTTTCTTTGACTCTTCTAGAATGTATAGCACACCCCCTCAAGATATAATGAAACACTTCATTGTCATACAAAGTAAGTGTAATTATCATAACAGCATAGGCACAGTTTTTATGGGTGACATGTCTCTCATACTCTTTCAATGATAGAATAATTTATTTTATTTTATAAAGTTAACATTTTCTTACTTTGAAAATGTATTTCCAATAGGTACTCACCTCATCTCACCCAAAGCTATCTTGATCCTAGTCTACCCTCTAAGCATTGCGAAAACAAATTTTGCTACAGTGCACCAGTCTCGATACCCCACTAGTTTTGTGTCATTTCAGAAAATGTGCTGGTCATGTGACATCTCTCCACCAACTGTACTGCACCATCTATACTGGTGCAGCTAGCTCCCTCTACTATTCTAGAACAATCCTCACTTTCAAGAGTTGGCAGGCATGAACCATAAACACCAGCACCTCAATGGGTGAGAGTAGGTAAGTACCTATCAGAAATACATTTTCAGAAGAAGAAAATGTTAACTTCTGAAACGGTACTGCCTCCTCTCACCCAAAGCTAGAATCCCACATTGCCAAGGTAGAGGAGCTGGTGAAGGTGCATCAATCCCAAAACAACCAGAAAGAGACTGCACTGAAAGAATAGATGTGATTGAATTTGAAAAGAAAGCACACCAGTGGGGTACAGCACTACTTCTGGAACAGGTATGCTCTTCACCCAGCAATCAATAAAGTAACACAATTGGGACTGAACTGAAGTCAATAAAGAGACGTGCAACACTGAATCAGTGTAGGAAGCACTGGACAACTATGACATGAATCAGTATGGTGATGACTAACATGGAAAGGGTCCTGTATATGCATCCATTTTTCTTTATATGTATGTGCCAAGTGAAGTGCTGTGAGTTACATCAGATTACGCCAAGTGCAGTCCATTCAGACAAAACATTCAGCGGAAACACTTTGTATAAGATATAGCAATCAACAAGCGTGGTCCACCTGGGCAAAAACATCCAGGGGAAGCTCCTTGAATACATAGGATTATGTAAGATATAAATTACTGTTATGAGTGCAATTGTTAGAGTCATCATAACTAGTCCTCTGTCCACCTCCATGTCATAATGAGTCATCGTAAGAAACAAGACATAGTACAGAACATAGTGATAGTGAGTCATAGTATGGTACCAGTAAATGAGCTAGAGATAAAAACAAAATAATAGTTTGTGGCTAGGGCATAAAGACTGTGAAATGTATTTGAATAGGCCAAGTGTGGTCCACTCGGGCAAAAAATATCCAGGGGAAATGCCTTGGGATATGTAGGATTATGCCAAGTGTGGTCCATCCTGGCAAAAACATCTAATGAAAGCACATTACATAAGATTTAGATATCAACAAATGTGTTCCACCCAGGCAAAAAATATGCAGGAAAGTGCCTTGGGTTACATCAGGTTATGCCAAGTGCGGTACATCAGGGTAAAAAACATCCAATGGAAATGGCTTGTGTAAGAAATATGACCTACAAGTGAGGTCTGCCCAAGCAAAAACATCCAGGAGAAGTGCCTTGGATATTGAATATTATTGTATAATTCACTGTTCAGTAAGGTAATGATTATAACAGTTACAGCCCTCTTCTCGCCGAGTGGGTAAATATGGGCTTGAAAGCTTTGTTTTTCAAAACCCACTCAGGAGGAAACCTCCAAAGTCCACCACTTCAGCAGTGGGAACTGGAAGTGGTAAAGACTCCCGTGTCCACTAGAAGAGAAGGGGGGGGCATACACATTGAGGAGTCCAGAGGAATGACATACCAGAGGTAGTACATTGGGTGTCTGCGATTCCATATTTTTAAAAGCTGATAGACCCTGATTGCAGGAATCATGGGTCAGTAGGGATGGGCAGAAATCCCCATCTGCTTTACTCATGAGGTCCATGAGTGACAGTCCTTTATAAATGAAACCAGTAACTTTTAGTAAAAAATAAATAAATAGATATACATCCGACTGGAGAAGCTGCCAGTTGTCTTACAAAAACACCCCATCTCAATAGTCAGCAATATAGAATTATTCATATCTAGTACAAATATAATAGGAAGTATACCTGACCAGGCAACACCTTCCACTAGAGATCCTGAAGTACGATATGTATCAAATTAAAATATATATAAAAAGTAATATGTTGACTTACTCCAATCAAAGGCGAACAGACGTGTAGAATCCCCACAGAAGGAAGATGATACCTGCCCGAGGAAGACACAGCCAGGTTGTGCAGATAATATGCAATGAATGTATTGGGAGTTGTCCACATCCTAGCCTGAACGATCTTCTCCAAAGGCCCGGCAAAGGCGAGCAGCTAAAGACATAGTTAGATAATGAATTGGGTGTGAAAAAAACATTGTGGAGATGGCGATCTTCCATGGATAAGTCAGAATATGGTAGTCATATGAGTGGATGAATACAACCAGTGAGTGCAATAGGGGACAAACCATGGGACACAGAGATAATACTTTAAATAAATAGATGGGAATGATAACATCAAAACAGGTAGTACAAGCCACAAAACATCTCAAGGAACAAGTAGAAACAATGGAAATCACAAGAAGTTGAAACTGATATAAATTTGTGATCAAGCACAATCAAAATTTTGTAGTCACATGGACAGCGAGTTAAAACACATATCTACACATTAATATGCCAATCAAGAAAGTGAGGATTGTTCTAAAATAGTACAGGGAGCTAGCTGTGCCAGTATAGATGGTGCAGTACAATTGGTGGAGAGTAGTCACATGATCAGCACATTCTGAAATGGTGCAAAACTGATGGGTATAAAGACTGGTGCACTGTAGCAAAATTTTTTTAGCAATGCTTAGAGGACAGATCAGGATCGAGACAGCTTTTGGTGAGAGGAGGTTGTTCCGTTTAAGAAAGACTCTTATGCATACTCCAGATATAGAAACTGTCCCATTCACTTTTGAAACCACCAAAGTTACACCACTGTATAACAGTGTTGAAATAAGTAAATGATAAGAATGTGTGGTATTCAGTTAATAATAAGTGGTCAAAAAGATGTATCAATGAGTAGGATATCATAAAAAGCATTAATAAACTGAATATTTTAAAAGAAATATATCAAATTACACCAAAGATCCATAAGACCATGTTCATAAAGTGCATCTATAAGTGTTTCTACTACCCTAAATTGTTGTCTCTGATATAATTCTAAAGACCCATAAGTGAAAGCAAAGGATAATATATTATGTCAACCTCACTACATATGTGTCGATGAAGGCCTTTGCCTAATACCAGGGCTCATCGGGCTGACTGGGATATGAAAGTCATAGTAGTGATTTAGGTGCTATAATTAGATAGATATATATATCATCAATTTCCATAAACAACAACTGTTATGTTGTGAACCAGATTAAGTAAGTAAATTGCAATCATTATCAATTTTACTTCCATCATTTCCAAAGCAGACGTTTAGGGTAAGAATTATTAAAATAGTATTATTTATTTTATTCATAATAACTTATTTTATTATTATCATATATTAACTTTACTATCAATCAATAAGAAATAGTGAATGCTCACTTATAAATTTCATTGTGGAAAAAGAAAACTGCATATCTTTAGTGTAGATTTCCTGTTATCTATGCACACATTTGAGAGAAATATCAAACTCACACATATATTATACTGAATCTTGGAAACTCATTGAATATGTCATAATTTTTTAAAACAATTTCTGTTGAGACTGTAGTATATTATAAGAGGAATTAAAGCTTATATAGTTAAAAAGTAACTTTTATTATCAGTATTAATTGCATGAGCAAACAATCTGTTGTAGTAAAATATCAAATAGATATTTTAAATATGTTGATTTCATATTGTGAAATTTGTACTGCATCTGTTCTTTGAGTGAAAAATAAAAGATGAAGAACATGGATTTGTAAATTTAAGAGTAAGCTTTTAAAGTTTCAAAAGACATACAAACATCTTTCTATATTAAACCAGCAACTTTATTGCTCTCTAAGAGGTCTGTATATAAAGGCTAATCATTCCTACACTCCAGATCCAGACACCATATTTTCCAAGAAGGATCTAACAGAGTTTGAAAGAAACATTTTAGTTAGACAGTATCATATAGACCCAGGTGTAACACATATAACATAAGCACGAAATGCGATTGGTAAAAATCTCAAATATAAAAGAGCAACATTGGTAGGAAAAATCACTACTCATGACTGAATCTGCCAGATTGGGAAAGAAAATAGACAAAATTATCCAAAACACAACGACAGTTCAACATTTGAAGTTATCTATCATCATGAGAGAAAACTAAAATACCATTACAGAAGCTGTACACAATTTACTCAGAACTCCTAAAAGAAACACCTTTGAAAATACAGAGATGTAATAATTGTAATTAAAAGCCATGGATGTACAATACAAAATGGTTATTTCCTCAAATGAACCAACATTCACCCTTTACCTGTGAAATGGATGTATGTAAATGTACAGACAACAGTAAAGGATACACTAATTTACATTTTGGTTTATTGATTATTACAATTTTATTATAGAAATTGTTTTGCCTTGTTAGCTTAATATATGTATTTAGGACTGACCTAAATCTTCTAAGCTTGAAACTTCACAAGACATTATTGGGATTATTGCCCAAAATATTGTTAAAAAAGTGAGGGTACCCAACTGATAAAACAATACATTCTAATATTTATAAGCAGAAACATACAAAACATATATTTAATTAGCTATACAAGATGGTTTATAATACACTCTAAGTACAAAACTTGCTCTGATCAGAAGTTAATATTAACAGTCTTATTATGGAATGTGCTGTATTTTGTTGTTATGAGCTTGAGTTAATTGTTGCACTGAATAGCAGAATGATAGTTTATGACAGCATCTCAAGAGAACAATTTTGTTGTAAAATATTTATTCACTGGTAATGGTGCACATTGGTTTGGTGAGCATGAAATAACATTCAGCTACATGCCTGACAAGTCCAATTATCAAGATCTTAGTCCCTTCAAATTAATGCAAGGCATTCTTAAAACCAGACTTCAAAATTGCTTTGCTGCTTCTTATCCTAAAAGTAATTGCACTTCTATCAATGAATGGTGAAATAACATTAAGTTTAAAAATAACCGATTCATAAGCTCATTTTATTTCCATTTTTGTTCATTGTTTATGTAGAAGGTGATCATAGGAAGGCTACATGTGGTTTAACCAACAAACAAACTTGTGTCAAAGAAGCATGGTTTTATTTAACATAAGAAATAAACATTTAACTTCCAAGGGACAACAGAAAAATGCCTGTTCATATTTTCATATGGAACAAGAAAAAATGGTCCATTAATATGAGTCTGTTCATGTTTTTAAGGAATAAATGAAATGCACAGTGTACACCAGAAATGTGATGTTATGAATCTTCATCATATTTGACATGTAATGTTTATTCAATATTACAGAATTTACTATTTGTTACAGTGCTACACTGACTGATCAAATATTTTACCATTCTTCAGTGTAATACTGTAACAACCTGCAATTTATGGTTATGTGTTTTTTCATTCTGTTATCTTAGAGTAATTAACACAGCTGCTGACTAGTGGTTTCAGTTAAAAAGTGTATTCTGATACACAATATTGTTAATTTCGTGAAATATCCAACACAATACAATGCTACCTAGAAAATGCCCTTCAGGACTTATCATATAGAGGACTGTAATATCTGAGCAATGTATTAATACACACATATACATGTATATTCTTCAAGTTATGTTCAACTGCCTTTCACCAGTATCTGAATGATAATAGAGAATTTTACCTTTCTCTGTACAAAATCCAGTTTTTCAATAGTTTATTAAACAGACATTATACAAATAAACTTCTTTACTTCAATCAATAATTACTTGTTCAAACTGATCTCAGCATTATGATATTTAAACAGAATATACGTTAGAGCAACCTCTAAATCTTTTTTAATATATAAATTTATCATCATCATATATTGACATTTGAAATATAGTTTTATAAATAAATATAATAAATTTCCATAATATTTGACAAGTTAATATCCCTATTTCACAACTTTAACCAATAAACATAAATATACTATTAGCAAGTCCAACCTTTCCTGCTCCAGGAATTAGGCATGTCTACTACTTCTATAATCTCTATACTTCCCAACATTGCCACTGAATCACCTTAAATCTTCAGATGTGTCATACTTCACACACGAAACATCAGACAGTTCACTCTGTGTTTTCTTAACCCCCAGAATATCACCTAAATAATCCCACCATTTATAAATTTTTCATATTACTCAACTCGCAGGATTAAAGTACACAAATATTTTGGTGATAATGCACAGCTCTCAACAACATTATGATCCTATAAGGTTTAGAAGATCTTAAAAATATCACAATCAAGTGAAATTAATGTGCACTAGGCCCATAAAACAATACCTCCATGTGACTACATTTATGATTAGGTGACTAAAATAAGCACATTCTACTTCACCTACACACATGATAAGGATAATAACCAAATAAACCAGGAAAAATACTAATGCTGTTATTCAACTTTGCTACAGTACAAAAATATTACAATCACTAATTCTTGTATTATGCTAAAATTATACTTTTGTAAATGTAATGCATTTAAGTCTCACGATAAAAACTAACCTAAACGTGTTCAGAGGAATGAGATGGCCTGTTACACATCCCCAAATCAGCAAAAGTTTGTCCTGCTAGATGGTATTAACTTATGAAAACAACCATTTTTAAACTTTTTGACTTGGGAGTGACTTCACTGTGATGTGGGAGTGAATTTGCTTTTTCTTATAAATAGTCCTGCAATGTTTTACATAAGGAAATGTATTGGAAGCTTCAAATATTTGTAGTATGCAATGTTATGAAGGTCGATACACTTATTAATATTCAAAGTAAATTTTTGAATTTCAGTCGTTCAGAGTTGTATGAAATCCAGTCAAGTTTGACTTTCTGAGAGCCAGACTGAGATTTCACTGTTGGCAGTAAATTTACTAAAATTAGGAGCTTACAGGTTACAATACTAAATAAAACTCAAGAGTATGATCCCCCATGGTGAACAGAGTACAGAAAGCTCATTATGTGGCTTTATACTAAAACAAACAACACTGACTTCGTTGACTTTAAATGAGTTCAATACATATTACAAGTAATATTTTAAACTTATGTAACAGTAACAGTACAACTCACTACAACTACAACTTAAAAGTACAAATTACAGCAAAAACGCAAGTCTATACACAATTTGTATTGTAACTTGTAAGTACCATATTTTCATCAATTATATACATTTTCTAGTTTGTCTTTTATCACGTTAACAATTATGCCACAAATTGGTGTAATTTAAAGCATTAAAACCTAAACCTCACCATTTAAGATTTTTTCGTGGACTTCTGGAGAAACCTGAACAGTTATTTCTCGTTCTCCGTTAGAGAGTGTTAAAGATAACATACAAGTCGCCATGATACTAAGACTAGTCAGTTACGTGTTTGAAAATTCATGGCCTTTCCCAGGAGCAGATGGTTTTTATGGCTTTGAGTATTACTGTCGTACTGCGTTCGCTATGTAAGAGGTGGTCTGATAGATAGGTTGCGCCACTATACTATACTATAAAATACTGATGTTTCTAGATACCTTGAAAATGAAAATAAAAACTTTATAACAGGATTTTGTAGTAGTGTTTTACTCTTTCATGAGGAAAGTGTCATGTGGTTGCTTGGCAACGACATAGCATCAATAATTCTGCCAGTATATACAACCATACATATATGTTTATAACATATATTACTATTGACACATTGAATGGTATATTTAAATCCTGTTAACCCCACTTTTTCTCATACATGTTTTGTACTTTATACTTTTAAGACATAACTATTTGTGTGTTAAAATATTAACTTAGATTTTTGCATTTCTAAATTTTCCTATTTTTTGAAAAATCTTGAATCTATATTTTCTAGGTTTTTTCTCCCTGTGACCGTTCATCTTTCACAAATCATTAGAGTCGGACGTGGGATAGTGGTTAGTGTGCCGAAATGTGAATCCAATATCCTATGGTTCTCGTCCCATTGCTGTAGAATCGCACTCCTCAATTAGCAGTTACGTGTGTGTTATAAAAGAGACTATCAAATATCTCCCTATTTGATTAAAATACAAGGAACTGACTATCTCCCTCTAGTCTAGCAGTTCAAAATTAGGAACGGGTAGAGCAGATAGTTTTTGTACCGTTTTGGGCGAATTTCAGAAACAAATACTAAACACTGGACTGTTTTTGCTTTATTTTATTTTTTATCATAAATCAATCTTCTGTTTGTTTTTAAGAAGGTGAGCTACATCATAGATAATATATCATACTTTTAACTGATCTCAATATTCAGAATTAATCTATTTAATGTTGCCCACATTGCTTTGCGTTTCCACCAGGCCCGTAAGCAGAATGTTTAGAAAGGGGGGGGGGGTCAAATTTGTGAGATCAAAAGCCAACACATACTGTGCGTAGCACAATCAGCATGCTAATGTTATGGAAAAGCTAACTGGAAAAAGAGCCCTGAAAATGAGTTAAAGCAGTTTTGATGGAAAATGATATACAGTAATAGTTATACAACTTGAGATGCCCACTCTAAAAATGCAATATACTAAATTCTATTTTGCGTTTTTGACCCCAAAACTGACAGAAAAAATGGCCGCCAGACACAATACGAGTCACTATTGTTTCTGATCAACTCAAGATAGAAAAATGAAAATGAGACTCTTTTCTGTTGTTTTAAGTATCTAAAAATGCTATTAAAGCAAAATAAAAGTCTATGAATAAACATTCAAGGTCATATGTGAAAGATCAAGGTTATTTTTCAAAAATGGCTACCAAATGAAACTGAAGATACTATAACCTCTCTTTCAATTAAGAAAGAATTACAATGTAAACCTCTAGTCTGATCTCGTAGGCATCCACGAAGAAATCCATCGAAACAAAACAGAAATATGTAGGATTAAGAATTTGAGGTCATCTTGGAAGGTTTAAGGCTTTTCCTCATCGTATACACATGATACATATTTTTTTTTATATAATTGATAAGTTTATGTTACATGCAATATGCATGAGTAAAGTAATGCAGTAATCAACCCAGGACTCAAATAGGGTAGTCAATCTCGTGTAACCAAATTCAATGGTAGTTGAATTAAGACCCAAATAGAGTGGTACAGTAATCGAGTAGACTTGGACAATAAGCTACATTGTTTCTGAGGTGACCACGATAGATAAGAGAAGAAGCATCATATCCAAGAGAACACTGCGTCCTGAACATATTCTTCAAACAACTGATGTTTTACCATACCATATTAAGAGAGAGCGCTAGCAGGTCTATGTTTGGTTGGGAGTCCCCCTAAAGCACGGCACAACACTAGGATGAACACTTGAAGATGGTCAGAGGAAACCACTGTGTCTGCATCCTGTCTACAATTCATCACTTGTGGACGGACCATTCTGTGTTTATCTCAGAGATGCAAGTACAGAAGCTCTAGTCTACCATATAATGGTGTTTTCAAATGCGTAGTGGAGTATATGAACACTACTAAGTAGACACTATAACTCAGAATGATAACAGACAAGCGTACACGAGGGTAGAGAAATATCGATCCCTTTTGAGTTTATACGGATGGTGACCGAAGAAATAATAATACAAAAATCGTGCCAACCGATAGGTTTTAAGAGCCATCCTGTATAATTATTCACGTTTGAAAGTTCTATGAGATGTGAATTTAATCTCTTGAAGCTGGATATTGGATATATATATATATACTGATCATTCTAATCTTATATGATGGGAAATTAATACAACATAATATCAAATACAATATTTAATCGCACCCGAAAAGAAGATGACCTTAAGCTTTAGCAATAGAGTTCAAAGTCTTAATCCAAGTATTTAATTATTTGTTAGTTGGGTTTAGATATGTTTAAAATATCAAAACATATTCTACGATTAATTGTATCCTAAAGGATCTGACGTTGTAGTTTTTCTTTTATTGGAAAAAACATAATTTTTCAAAAATGAGCTTAAAAGACCAAAAATATGTTACATATTGGTTTTAGTTGTGTACCTAATTCCTAAAACATCCCCAAAAGAGTTTTAGAACTTCACTTTCTCTTGATTATATAGGATATTGTAGTGATATGTTTTGTATTTAACAGCCATTTTGGAAAAATGACCTTGACCTTTCACAGATGAACTTTAAGGTTTAATTCTAATCACTTTTAATTTTGCTTCCACTAAATTCCTGGTTGTCTATATGTTAGAAAATAGTCTTAGATAATCTTTTTATCTTGATTAGATCATACACTGTGGAGAGTTGTGTTATATTTTTTGACAGTCTTGGCTTCTTTATAAAATTTTGGGCCAAATCGCACAATTGAGCTTAGTATACAACATTTTAAAAATCACCCATCCCAACTCCTTTAAAAACAAACAAACATCGTATGTTATATTATATTCAAAAAGCTTTCACAACTTTGATCTTATGGAAATAGAACTAGACTCAAAGAGGACGCTAATCACCAATTTTCCGCAATGAAACAAAGACATTTTTATTGCACAAAACTGGAAAAGAAATGGCACATAAAACATTTATATAGAAAACTTTCTTATTATGCTTGCTGTCGAACTCTGTGGTATTGTTAACGGACAATAACACACGAGGCAAATTTGACCAACAGCAGATGAATTCTTATCAAGAGCTAGCTTTTCTTTGAACTATATTATAGTTATAAAATGTCACATCACACACGTCATCAGGTAAGCCCCATTAATAATCAGACTTTTTTTATCTTCACATATGACCAATACGCCAGACAACTCACAGAAACCTGCTCAACAAATTATCCAGCAAGCAGGCCAAATACAAGAATTAGTCTTGGGCTAAGTTTTAAACATTTCTAGACAGTGCCTAAGTGTAAAATTAGTGGAGTCAAGATTGGGTACATCTTTTTTGTCTAGAACTTGTAGTTGAGCAACGTACAATGTAATACTATTTTGAAAAATTGTATGAATAAAAAATAGCTTCATATTTTATGTTATAGAAGTGCTTAGTTTATGATACTTTCACACTTCTTCTTATTGGTAGATGTAATCCCTCTCAATTCCTCTCATTGCACATATAGTCTTCTAACAGATGCGTTTGAACAGCTAGTCAAAGAAATAGTATTCGATAACGATATTCTTGCGAGAAGACGACACCCATTATCATTCGCCTTTGAAAGTCAAACAGTTTGGTTTGTTTGGAAGTTCATGCAAATATATACGAGGGCTATCTGCGCTAGACATTCCTAATTTAGCAGTGAAAGACTACAGAGAAGTCAGCTAATCATCACCATCCACCGCCAACTTTTGGGCTACTTTTTTTACTAACGAATAGTGGGATTTAACGTCACATTATAACGCCCCCATGGCTGAAAAGGCGAACATGTTTAGTGGGACGGGAATTCGAACCTGCGACCCGCAGATTGCGAGTCGAGCGCCCTAACCACCTGGTCATGTCAGACTTGAAAATCAAGAAGAACTTTGCTTTTAATCGTTGTTCTGCAAATGTCGTGACGATTCATAATAATATGACTGTAGCTCATGACCAGTCCATTTTACATATGCAAGTAACAGTAGTATTATACAAAGGTGAAACTACAAACACTGTAACGTTATTACTTTTTAGTTTGTGTGCTCCGTTTTTAATCAAAGACAACTTCTCATAAAACGTGATCAGTGTTTATTTTCAGAATATTCAAAAACTAAGTTGTTCAATAGAACTATGCATACTAATTTACAAAAAACAACAAGAGTGAAATAGCATTTCTTGTAAGAAAGGAAAGATCCCATATAAGGTGAGAACATAAAAAAACACTAATCCTTGTACAAAAAACCATATAATAGCAAGATATTTTGTGTCAATATTGTACAAATACTCCTTTCACCAAATATATTTTTTACAACTTTCCAACTTACAAAGAATATTTTGGTACAAAACTGTTTAAAACCAAAAGATCCACGCCTCTGCAAAATAAACAAGAAATATGCCAAAACAATCTACACATTCCTAACAGAGCTCATTCTTGCTGGTGCTTATACTGCTAAGATTTCTTTGGTAGCGTTATTGGCCTTTGTATGACTTGGTGTATTGATGAGGTATGAAATGAATGGAACAAGCTCATACAAGATAAATACAAAATTTGGAATTTAAAAAGCTGCAAATGGAGATCGTAAAAAAGTAAGCAAACAAAGCTGGAGATACTGTAGACATTATTTATTCAAACTACAAACCCGTATTTTGGCTCCATACTGTTACCTAGAATCACATTTGGTGGAGCCAAAATATGGATTCTTAGTTTGAGTAAATAATGTCTACAGTATCCCCAATCCCTATTTGCAGGTTTTTAAATTCCTAATTTTTTAGTTATCTTGTTTCCTAACTTTATTATGCTCAACTATGGGCAAATGATTACTTGATATGGTAGCTAACTTTATACACTGTAGTGATAATATACATAGCATAGCTAGTAGCTAGCTGATACGGTACATGATGATTTACTGTAGCTATAGACTATTTGATCGCATTAGTTGGAGATGTAAAATGTTAAGCTGCAGCTGTAGATTGTCATGGAAATTTGTTTGTTATACTGAGCATTTATAGCTTCTGTGTAACTAAATTATATATATATATATATATATATATATATATA